AAAGCACTTCAGCGTAGTGACCTGGAAGGAAACTAGGGAGGTATTGTGGAAAATTGCCCTGAGCTTTTAGCTGCGTGCAGCTGGTAAGTCTGCTGTGGTGGAAGGGGAGAGGGGAGGGAAGGGTCATGGGGGGAGCGGATGAATCCCCCCTGTGGTGAAGGAGGGGGCAGGGGAGCTGCTGCCCAGCCAGGGTAGGGCATGGCGTGGGATGGAGCTGCGGCTCGTTGGAGGGAGGGTAGCTGTGCGAGGTAGGTGGCAGTGCTAGGAGTGGCGCTACAGGGGCGGGAGGCTACAGCAAAATCTGGGGCATGGTCAAGCAAACAAATTAGAGCAAATTATAGGGGGTGGAGTCTCACTGTGTGTCATCTGCTCCATGATAACTGCCCAAGCATATGTTCTTCCCCTATGGTGACTGGCAAATACCACTGTAGCATATTCTTCTTATGCTGAGTAACAAAACCCAATAATTTGGGTTTTTTTAAACACGATTGAGCCTTAATGGGCTGTCAAAAAGTCTAAGTGTGTAATACTAGGAAGACAAAAAGAAAAACGTACAATGAAGATTTCCTACTTAGTTCAATATATGCATTTGTTTAGCTACTGCAAAACCTAGTTATTTCTTATTAAAGAAGAATAAAATTCAACAATTTTCAAAAACTTCACTGGCCAGCATTCCAGATCCATCCTGTACTCACAACTCCAGCTCCCTATGAACAGAGATTTAAAAACCAGCACATTACAACCAAAATATCCTGGAAAATAATGGAAAATTCAAAGAAAATGATAATTTTATCTATTTTACTTAGTGAGAAAACTCTCAGTCCTAAAAGGGGAGAGTTCAGAACGATGAACTAGAACAGAAAATGGAACGGTCAAGCTAAAGACTCTTCTGACCCTCCTGGAATTTGCAATTAGTTTGGACCAAATAGAAAAAAAATTAAAAGCTTTTTTTCTTTTGGAAAACTAAGTCTACCACCTATTTTTGTCCAAAACTATGTACAAATTTTACACCAGAAATAGATTTTTACCACATAAATTTCTACATATGCCTATCATTATCATCACAATGCAAAAACGTTTATGGTTTACTAAGGAAAAAAAAATCACTAATTAAAAATGCCCTCAGATTCACAGCCAACAAACCATAACTGTTGTGAAAAACAGTATTTTTAACCAACGTCATATTATGTGTTTCTGAAACAGAACAGAAACTACGAATTGTGCCTTTTGGCAAATTAGTTTTTTCTTTTTTTCTTCCTTTTTTAAATACAATTATTTTTAAAATCTGAAAGAAATTCACCTAAAAGGCCTTACAGTAATTGTAAGAGGAGACAAAATTTCGAAGTCAAGTGCAACGCACTCAAACATACAAAAATACACCAACCGTGCATTCACATTTATTTGTGTTTCTGCATCTGAAGGTCTTTTGGTGCTCCAAATGTGTGCAGAAAAAAAACAAGTATATCTACAACTGAAAAACCTGGCTTTCAGACCAATTTAAATTTACAAGGACATTTGGACTAGAAAACAAATAATCTAGGCTACTGAACAACTACTACTACTGTACTATCTCTAGTTTTAAGGCTTTTGATTTATTTTTTCTATGATTTCTCATATTAACACAAGCTTTTGTTCACAACTTAACTTTTATTCTGTATTTATAATTATATGTAGGAATCTTGAAATACAAATTAGATTTCTTCATAACATTTCTGTCGATTCCCATTCACAATGGCATAAAAGCTGATTTTGTTTTTATAGTATTGCTCTTCTATAAAGGGCCCTTGATTTTTTTTTCATTGAGAGCCTTGAAAGAAGAAGCATTTTATTAAGCAAGGAGAAAATGGTTTAATAGACTTTCAATGCAGGTACAAGAAACACATTAAGTAAATCAGTCAAACTTTAAGCATGCTAAACTTGACTTAATCTATTTAATTTTGGTTTTGTTTGACTGTGTTTTGGCAGTTGAATAGTCCAAGATATCCCTTTTTTAGGTAAAGACATTTCAGTAGTAAAGCTACTTTTTAGTAGAAGATAAAAGCCTCTTGGTTCTAGTATAGAAACTTAAAGAGGAAAAAATCACTTTGGTCTCTAGTAGACAACATTAGGGGTGACATTTTTATGGAATCAGAATTTTAAAATCAACAGTTTTGCAACAGAAAAATGATTAAAATTTTTGGTGGAAAAAGGAGCTTCAAACTCTACTCTACATTAACTTGATTTGTAGACAAACTTGCAAGTTTAGACATAAAACAATAGCACAGTTTTTTCTCCTGTGGTTTAGACTGAGAGCTATTGGCTACAATAATCTTCAGTAATATTTCTGTTTACCCAGCTAGTATGAAGGATTATGGAGATGAGTTCACAAGAGCTGACCCTCCAGGTTTATTAAATATTCAATATATGCATGCTGGGTATTAAATAAAAAATGGAAAATGCTGCAGACTACCATATGTTAAATACTTCAAGTAATACTAGAGTAGCTCTATTTATTTTTTAATAATTTATTTAAATCATTTTATCAGATAACACAACACAAAAAATGCACAATGAGAGCACAATTGTAAGTCACAGTATAAGAATACCTAAATATTTATGAAAGTGTTTCTTTTTTTTCTTGGGTAATTTTGTTCAAGAATTTTTTTTATAAACTTGAAGTTATTTAATCTTTTCTTGATTGTTTCACCTTGGTAGTAACATTACTGCTGGTTTCTCACCTATAGTGGTATCACAGCATGTGGGTCTTCAGCAGCAGGGGAACACTTCATTGTCATGATTTAGCTGACTGTTCCTACAGTCTCTTCCCCCTCCCATATTCACTCTTCTCAGTTAGCTGGCTATAGCCTACACACAATCTGCCTTGTCTAAAATCATCTGATACTAGTATTCTATAAAGAACCGTGATCAACACCATAAGGTGCTTCAGCCACTGCCTCCAAAGACAGACAAATAAGTCCTATGAGGCACCCCAACCATTTTGTAAAGTAGGCCTAAAGTGGTCTCTGAAACGCATATCCAGTTTGTCACACAAACACTTAGAATTGAACACGGAGTGATGCAGCCACTTATTGTTTGTATTGCTTCTTTCTTTGAGTGTATTATGAATAAGGGGTTGAACAAAGTGAACAACAGACTGACAATCAGACAATGGCCACCAGTACTAAATGTTAAGATTTTTAAATAAACATGTGTGGGACATGAACAAATCCAATGCTCAGGCAATTCCAATTTTAAATGCAGAACACCAACGTTCTGCTTTTCTTTCTTGGCTACGCCAACCAAGACTTGCTTAACTAAATGAAAGGAAATAACACTAAACAACCCCCTGTTCCAACCTCATGACTAAGAGAAAGTTTCTGAATTGGCAGAACCTAGGTAACAAAACTACATCAAACTACACACCTTGTGTCCAAATGTAGCATCCTCCGAGGCCAAGACTTCAACCTGAAAGTATAAGGAGAAAGATCATTTCAAATTTAGCCTCTATCAAGAACTGTTCCCTGAGCATAGAGTCCAGCCAGAGAAATATGCTGAACGAAGAGAAACATCTCTGGTCTACCACAAAGAAGCCTAGATAATGGGCCATGCTAAGCTAACAACCAACAACAGAAATTCTTAGAGGCAAAACTCAAAAAGCACCCTTCCACATCTGCACTAAGAAGGCTGTTTGCCTATGGGGTACCTTAACCATGGCCCTGGCTTTTGCCAGCAGAATTTTCCAGTGTTCCACAGCTTAATGTAATACAATTGAAACATTGCTCTTCCTGTGGAGTTTGAGCCACAAGGAAAACTTCCTGTGAACATCTAAAATCACTTGCGAGAGAAGCTATCTGCTATGCAGATCAGAATGATCTGAACACCCCACTCCACTACCAGATCTAATAACTACATCAACATAAAGTAGAAAAACTTTATGTGGAAACTAGACAGTTCAGTCTTACTTGCAGACTCCTGCACTGTCTTTAGCAGGGAAGATTCTTCTGAAACTGTGGAATTCAGAGAATACAAACTACTTATGCAAAAGCTGCAACAGCAAGCCTGCCAGGTACAATAGAGATTTGACTGCACAAGGAAGGTGGGCTATTAAGTGATCTAAAGTTGCTAAAACTCAAATTATGTATTGGTTGCCTTGTAGTTTACAAGTCTATGAGTTGGTAACCCATTAATTGAGGTGACAGAGCCACGGGAATGGAAAAACAGGCACAGTCTCTGATTTTCTATTTAAAATGTCTGCTTCTTACAACTACTTCACACTTCAGCACTTTTCATCTGAGAATCTCAGAGTGCTCTTAAAAGCTCTAATTAATTAAGCCTCACAAGATTCCTGTGAGGTAGGAAAGTGTCATCTTCCCAGTATGAAGATAGGGAAGTGAGGCACAAAGAGTTAAGTCATTTGCTCGTTGGTCATGCACCAAGTCAATGGCAGTCAGGAAAAGAACTGAAGATTCCTGTCCCCAGACGCATGCTCTAACAACTAGGAAATGCCTACTGTGGTGCTATAATCTAAACAAGTAGAATACCTGTAACTAATGTTTCTAATGTCCAGTTTAACAGAAAGAGTGAAAGATTTCAAACAAAACAAGAAAATAATGTCAAAATACACCCTGAAGCACAGTTCAATGCTGGAGTTATAAACTCCTGAATAAGAGGGGTTTTTTATAAATGGAAATGCTGATAAACTAACAATAATGGCAGCACTTCAATATATTCGTGTCATGATCCAACAACAGAGGGTACCTACTCCCTCTGGAGATGAAAACAAAGGGGATCTACTGGAATCCAGGATGGGGAGAGAGAACATGCCACATGTTGATATCTATGACCAGTCAGGTAAAGAACATAATCTAATAATAATATTTATTAGCTATCTGCATAGATTTCTTAATCCTGAAAGTGCTTTTTAAATATTAAACTGTTACTCCTGGAGAGTTTGATGCGCATCCAGAAAATATTTTATGGATGAGCAAACAGACACAACATTAACTTACTTGCTCGAGGCCATGCCATGCAGAGACAAACAAGCCACCTTCAGTTGTAGAAGCAGTATATCCATATTAGCAGGGTGTTGCATCCTGGTTAACTTATCCTGTTTCTTTGCAGGGTATATTATTATTTATACCTTTCTCAGTAGGCTATATTAGCTCAGGTGGAATGCTATGCTAATATTACTATACCACTTCCAATACCAACCGTAGCTTATTTTCAGATCAGAGCTAGCTTCAGACTCTGAACGGCAAGGCACTGTCCTATGTAGACATACCCTAAGTGCTATACTTAGATCCTTAATACATACTCCTCCACTGCAAAGTGATATTATCAATGGAAAACATAAAGTTGATTCAACTTTCTCTCTTTTCCTCATGGAAAAAGCCAGAGTATTAAGCTATCTATTTACAAAATATCCATTTTTCACTTTTCTCTATGCAACATGGAGCCAAAGGAGGAAACAAATTGTGACAAAGAGTACAATTGAGTTTAACATGTTATACTACCCTCTTACTCTCATTCACAGGTAGAAATACTGCCTATTCAAGGCTTCAAAACAGAATTACTGCCCCCCCCACCTCAAAAAGTAGCTATCAGAGCAAACAGATTCCCATTACAAACATTACTGAATAGCCCTAACAATGTCTCTTCCATTTTCCCAGGAGGGATCAGAGATCCATCAGCAAGCTCTTTGATTCTGGACTTTTAAACCAGTTCTATGATATGATATTTTATTCCATATTATGGATGGTCCAAAATATCAATGTGACATTTTACTGCAATTTAGAAACACACACTATTCGGTTTATTTTTCAGCTTTTTCTGCAAGGATGTATTTAAGACCTGTGTAAGCTGAGGAACTGCTGATGCTGCAAGATAATCTCTGAACAAAACTCAAGCAAGATGTAAGACCATGAGAGTTCCTCCCCCTTGCTGGTTTTTTCCCTGAAAATGGATTAAAACCTGGCCTGGGAGGAACCCCCCTCTAGTGGGGATGAAATGGTACTTCAATCAACACACAGATGTTCAGGTAAAAATTTAATTAATTTTATATCTCCAATATTCAAGCAAAGGGCACCTCTCTCTACAACCTCCTAAGAATACATCATCTGTTTTTAACTGAACAAAAAAGTTGACAACTGGCTTCATTATAAACTTTGAAGTAACTAGCCATTAATCTAGACCTATTAACTATGTTACTATTTGTGACAGTTATGCTTTTGTAATTCTAGTTGATTTTTCTGATTGTTATTTACAGACTTTAACATATTACTTTTCTATTTTTACAGAAAAGGGCAGAGGTCAGTGTGAATAATTCACTACCTCATTGAAGAAAAGCAGCCTTGGTTCTCAAATGAACCATTGTTGGTTTCACATGTCTTTAATAGTAGCTTCCCCCAGGCGGTCTACTGAATCGCTGCTGAATACCTCCTCTGCCTCTACTTGCCTCTGCTCCTCACTCTTCACAGTACAACCTTATAGTCAAATGACCCATATTATATTTATGAACAAAAGCGTGAAACATTGTTCAGCAGTGACTCTTCCAACTTATTTAAAGAGTTTCTAAATACTCTTTCCTTATTTAACAAATAAAATAGAAATAATACCAATTCCTCAAATTATTTGCCAGAACATGACTACCAGAAGTAAGAGTCAAAGCAATTACTGTCAGATACTGTAAAGCATACATGTTTGTGTACATTACATACTGTAAGCAGGTTAATGGTTTACAGCACTACTACTGAGACAGTGTTCTGGGCTATAATTGTAGAATTCTGTAATATTTCACATTTTTTAATTAAACAAAGAAAAATTGTTCAGAAACATCTTCTATCCCTGTTGAATAATATGTGGAGCTCCCACAAGATTGAGGCAATATCAGCATAGTTCCTTCTACCTTCAGAAATGAGACTTAATAATTTGTTTTGCTTTTAAATAAAAGATTCATACAGTTCCAAATTCTAGAGACAGTAATGCATCACAAAACACAAAAGACTTACTGTAAATCACACAAAAAAAATATAATTTTCAGCTCTTCAACACAAAAAACTCAAGGGCTGTGCACGTAACTTTAAGCACTTTTTAAAAAGGAAAGGACTTGCTCCTTAGCAGTGTGCATCATTTCTTCAGTTTTAGGCATTATATCTGTCTACTCCTAAACCAGTATACCTGAGCTAGTTTAAAATCTATTCTTATAAAAGGCACAGGTTGTAGCACATTCTCTTCCTCTGAGGGAGACCCAATATAAGCAGTAACAACCACTCCGGGGATCACAAAGATTCCCAAATAACGTCCTGTTATTGGTAATATTTTGAAGGATTACTTAATCTACAGCTAGCTACTAGGAAGAAAGCTCCTAATACGCAAACAAAACAGCCCTCTCAGATCAGGACTTTCCAAACTGTATCTGATGGAGATAAACAAGTAAATGGCATGAGGAAGATGGCTACATCACTTTGTATAAAGTGGAGTTGACTGAAGCCATTCTAGCCAGGATAAAGCACTCTGTGCAGACATGTACAGCTTCTGTGGGCCATACGCTAAAATTATGTGAACTAATTTTTCCCAGCAGGCTGCAGATTGGCCACTCTACTGTCATCCTCTGGAGAATTAAACTACAGCACTTACATGTTCCCAAACAGTTTTTGTTTTGCCAGGTGCCAACTTAATAAAAAGACAGGCTCCTGGCATTCTTAAATTAAGTTCAAAACAAAACAAATAAACAATTATTACAATAAACATTGTATATAGTAATGCTTTAGTCTTCACTATTTGAGACAATCAATCAATCAGATTAGAAAGGGGCTGCCCCTCCCCTGACTCTCCTCTATGTTAACAATATCAGAAAAGAATGGGAAATGTGCAGTCTCTCCTGGATTAGTGTCAGATCTTCCCTCTGAGGTGCACATTGCGCTTAGTGATGTCAAACAAACTGCATGAGACTGACTAGCATAATTTTGTGCGAGTTAAAGCTAGTTGAAATATGCTGGATTTATTGCAGATGGAGAGAAACTCTGGACTACTTGGTCATATTAAAACACACCTCTATAGTGGGCTACTATCACTGGCTTCAGAGCATTGGAAGGAACCTCCTGGTAACACAGTCCAGGCCCCTGCATTCACATGGAGCTACATCATAAACTCTCCAAAAGATGATCAAACTCCTCTTTAAGACGAGTTAGTTTTTTGGGTCCCTTTACTCCTACTGAAAAGGTTGTTTCAAAACCTCGCTATTTTAATGGTTAAAAATGTCTTTTGATTTCCAGCCTAAACATGTTTGTACCAGATATACCCCCTTGCTCCTGTTTCAGTCATAGAATCACAGAAAATGAGGGTTGGAAGGGACCTCAGGAGGACATCTAAGTGCAGTGGTTTCTCAATCTTTTTTGAACCAGGACCCATTTTGTAAACATCAGTGGCCAGACCTTCCCCAGTGCCCCTCACTCCTGACTCGCTGC